ATTAAAATTAAAATTTATCGAATAAAAAATTTAAAATTCATTCAATTAACCATATATATATATATATATATATATATATATTAAATATATTAAATTTTTTATTTTACTTACGCTTCATTAAATTTTTTGTTTCCTCGCTATATCTCGCTCTTGGTGGATGATGAAACGCGCCCACCCCCATTTCCACTTTCTGATATTTTCGATCCATTTTTTAACCTCCTGTAAAGATTAAATATTGAGGCTATTAACACGTGAGCATGGTTTAATAGCTTCGAATGGATTGTCACGATTCGTGCCAAGAGAAAAAGACAAACGCGATACAAACGAGAATAAAGAATCCGCGTTTCTATGGCTACTATTTGAAAATGATTCAACCTTAATCGAACCAACTTTCGAACTGCGATTCAAAAGTTTCACGACATTGCCAATAAATAATTTAAATGGAATTTATTTCAATGATATTATGTCGTAAATATAAGTATCAGCGACTTGTTCCAATTGGAATGATTGTAAATTCTTTAAAAAAATATAAAATGTTAATAGAATATTAATTATATGTAATGTCTTATAATGATAGAAATTGAATTGTATGGAAAAGAAAAAAAATTTATTAAGAATTAATAAAAATATTTTCAAAATATTTATCTCTTTTTAATTACTTATTTCAATTTTTTTAAAATTGTATTTTAAATCTATACATAAAAGAAATATATAAGCAATAAAGTAAGACATTTATATGAAAATTAATCTTATCACTCAATGAATAATATTTTCTATTTATAATTTTCTACTATTATTAGTTTTTAATATTTTGTGACATTACTTAAAAATAACTATATAATAAAATAAAATCTTCATAATGTGAGTCAAACAGTGATCTTTTAATTTCTGAAATAAAAATAAATAATTTTCATATCTGAAATCAATATTATAGAAAAATATAAATTAAAAATTATTATTATTAATGATTATTAGATACAGAACACGGAAAATCAATTTTATTATACAGAAAATTACAACGAAATATAATTTTTAAAATATAATTTTATAATTTCAAATTAAATTTAATTTTTTAAAATAATTTTTAAAATAATTTTTTATAGAAGATTTGAATAGAATTTAAATAAAAATGTAAAATTGATTTTCAGCCATAGAGATATATCTACAATACTCAATTTCAAACTAAAACACTTTCAATCACGAATTCACAAGATTCGAAACTAATTTTCTTTTATTAACTCAGATCTACGAGGTTGAAAATTAATCATTTTGCACAAGTAGCAATCAATGATCAATTGAGAACGGATGCACCTTGAAGGATGCGGTATTGAATTGGTCTGTGGTGCGCATGCCGTACAATCTATAGCTAGAGGTTACGTTTTTACCCCCTAGATGAGTTAAACTCGCGTTTCGTGTGTTGAGCGCACACAAACGGACATTCCTTTAAATTCAAGTTCTCTTTCAAAAGCCTCATACGAGGCTATCAAAGAGGACGATATACCCACGTTCCTATTCCTCCATCCTTCATGTGATAGTATTTCGCTTGACAGTTATTTTGTATAAGCAAGAAACAGTGAAAGTTATTGATTCATATTGTGAACTACGTTTCAGTGATATTTCGTGCTCCTTTTTCCGCGGGGTGAGTAAGAATATCAAATCGAAAGCGACCGAATTGCGAATCTGATTACAGTTGACATTTTCTCTTTCCACTTTTTTCCTCTTTTATATTATTGTTACTGTTGCATCTTAAACGATATGGTAGCAGGATTTTTTAATTTTGCTCGTTTGAAGAATCTTTGTAATTATTTTTGTTACTATTTCTATTACTTTTGTTTACTATTTCTTATTATTACATTAGGTTTTTATATAATTAAGTTAACATAATTAACTTGAACTTTATACAATATTAATTGTACATTTACTAATTTTTTTGATAATTGAAGAATTTCGTGAATTTATTTTGTTTGAGAACTTATTTTATTTTTAATTTATTATTTTAAATAATAAAACTTTGAATAATGTTTAGGATTGATAAAAATTTTGTTGATGTCTATTTTTCTTTACTTTTAGGAATAATAATTGTAGGAAATTATTAAAAAAAAAAGATAGACAAAATGAAAGTGGGACTGTTAAAAACTTTCTTACATTATTTCAACCTGCAACAGGGTACAGTGTTGATAGCTGTATTTCAATTGGTAAATATGACTTATTATTTAACTATATTTAACTACATAATAATAACTACATAACAAATTGATACAATTAATTACATTCTTTTTTTTAATGCAGTTTACATCCGGGTTTAGTATGATATTTTTCGTGCTGGCATTAGCACATGCGATGGGAATTCAAGAAATGGTGGTAAGAGATACAGAAGACGCTCTCGAAAGGGAAGCCTTAGAAGATATATCGTCTAATCACTTAAATACCAGAAAAATGGATATGGCACATCATAATGCAACTGGTGTTTATAATCTTATGATGATTTCAAATATATTACATTCTAATCTTATATCAAAAGAAAACTTTTTTCAATTATATAATTAACCTCTTCAAGAAATCTATTAAGATCATAAAAAAATAAAATTATTTGATATTTTTTTAATAATTAATTTAAAATATATTTTGAGTCATTGAAAAAAATAAGTAATATAGATAGATTAGAATATAGAAATTAGAAAATATTTGTTTGAGAAAAATACACTTATGAAACTTTTTTTAAATCATGCTTGAATGGAAAACTAATAAATTTCTTAAGAGGTCAACATTTTTATTTTATTCTTATTCTTCGGTTTATGTATTTCGAGTTTTTTATACTAAAGATTTATTACATATTTTTAGAAACAGTTTATTCGATGTATTGTGGATTAGTGATCACAGTGATACATTTTATTTCCACTATTCTACTTTTATATGGTGCACTCACGGTAATTACATTTTATGTTGCCATATATAAGAATAATTCGATGATAAAATAAGTTTTTTCTTCCCATAGAATAATCGTCATTTTATGACACCCTGGATGATGATTATGATGACAATAATATCAGCTTTGACAATTTCTTTGTTCTTGGTACAACAAGATTGTCCGTTTATTGCTACCCTCGGTGGCAAAGCTGATATTTGTGAACGTAAGTTGATAAATAAATTGAAAAAAATCAAAATTCAATCACAATTATCAAATATTAAATGTTATTAAATTAATGCATGTGAAATGTATGTGCATAATGTATGTGAAACATAATAAAAAATCTAACGATTTGAAAAAATCATAAATCATAAATATAAAATAATAAAATGAAATTTCAAATTCATCTTATTTATTTTTTTAAAGAATGACGTGATTGTTTCTATTTTTCTTGATTTCTTGTATCATTGTTGATAATAATTTTTAGATTTTTAATCTTAATTTAATGAGGTATTATTGATACATACATAAATTTCTTCAATGTTAAATACTTTCAATAACTTTATATTACATTTTCAAGTTAATTTATATAAAAATCAAACGAAAAATTAATAATTAAAAATTATTTTTAATTAATAAAATATCAACATACGTATATTATAATAAATTTCTTTTTCTTCAACAGTTTTTTATAACTTTCAACTTTTTTATAATTAAAACAATTAAATAGACAAAACTTAAAACTATATATTTGCTTATTAACATTAAAATTCTAATAACGATTTCATATACTTTAATCCAATATGTTAAAAATACATTCTTGAACAATTTTTATTAGAAGTTTAGATTTATATCATTCTTGAATATCATTTTTTTCCAGGTATAATTGTTCTCTTTCTCGTAATCACTAGTTCTTACGTATGGTTCGTCGTCTACAGTAGTTACAAAAGTCTCGAAACGAAAAAGGGATTGACTCACGTTCTTCACGATATGAAGAAAAATCCCGTAATTCCAGTCGTGCAAAAATCGAAAGCCATTCAGGCAGACGCGAATAAACCGTTCGAAGTTTAAAAATACTATACTGGTAGCGATAGAAAATCGGATTTATAATGATTGTGAAAGAGCGCAATCGATGACGAAGAGCTCTTATTATCGAAAGATATTCTTAAAATGACAGTGTTTTTTAAACAAATTTTAAAATCAGACGACAAGACCTATGATTTAAATCTTGTCATCTAAAGTTTTATAACTTAGTCAAATATGAATGTGTTTCATTTTTGACGAAAAAAGAGAAATTAAAAGATTGAAATAGTGAACAAGAACACGTGACAAACTTATGTTACAAAAAAACACTGTGCATATTACTTCTATACATAATACGACAAAGACATTTCATTTTACAGAAGCTCAAAAAAAGTTTGCAGTACAAAAAGCTTGCTTTCGTATTATTATACATATTACTTATTGTTCGTACGTTATTAATTGTTAACAAATTCGTGTTGTTTTTTAGCAATATCTTAAACAATGCACAGAGAATAATTATAATTATTCTTAAAAAAATGTAAATCTAAACTGCATATCGAAATGCGGCGACGCATATATCGTAATATAAATATATATATTTTTTATTTTTATCATTCTTATAACAAAATGTAAAATTCTTTTAATTATCAACAAGATACTAGGTCGAAAAGCTTAAATTTACGCAACATGCATTCTCTTTCTGTAAGACTGAATTAATTACTAATGTTGCGTAAGTTTTTTTATCAAGTTCCGAAACCTTTCGAAAAGGATAGAAAATGAAATAGATAGCTTGCAACTGATCATATTATTTATATTTTATAAACAAATACAATGTTTCGTCTCATAATGCTTTTATTTTGTATTAGATCCCAATTTCTTTGTGACATTACAATCTTGTGACATTTTGGGGTAATATTTCAATAATAATAATTGAATGTAGTTATTTCTTGTGTATATGTATATTAAATGTATGAAACCATAAAAATAAAGATTATAAAAATTCGATTACGTTATATACGTCCCATTTTTTATTTGGCTAATTATCGAATAAAAAAATTTTAATTTTAATAATTAGCCAAATTTTATGATATTACATTAATTTGTAACATTTATGACACGAAATACGCAATATGAAATATATTCGAGCATTTTTGTAACGATAAAAAAAATAACAAATTTATAATTTTATAAAATAAATATAAAAAAATACCATGATTTAATCGCCGAGCATAATGCGCCATTAAAAATTGTTGGATTACTTTCAAAATGATATTATTCGTATATTTGCATCAGCTTTAGCTAAAAATTATTTAATTTAAATGTACGAAAATTACTTTTTACATTGACACGTTAAGCAAAACTCTAAAATCGAGTTTTTTTTTTGTTTGTAACATTTAAGAACTTATAGTTCCAGTTAAATAGACATCTCAATAATAGGCCC